CGTCCAACCCTGCACGTGCGTCATATATTTACTGTATTCTGAACTTTTTTTGCACCGTACGTAGCCAACCGTACAAATCGGAGGTGCGGAGGGAGGGGGGATAAACTAAAACACAAAAATCCGTTCTAAAAAAGTGAATTTTCCCCAATCTAGAATGAGTTTTCAATCTAGATTTACAACGATTCATGGTGCGGCCGTTCTCGCTGGTCCGTTACAACCAGCGTCAGGAAAGTTGCCAGAGTTGTGAAATCGTCCTCCAGTCTTGGGCATCGTTGACCAGGGGGTGCGAGGTCACCAATGTGGGCCCACAGACAATGCCGGATTAAGCTAGTGTGGGGCCTGTAGCATATGCTATAAAGGGGCCCTAAATATATATAAAAAAACAAATGACGCATTTTTATCTTGCATAAAGTAATTGTATTTTTTCATTTGCTATACAGCCAGATACGACAAATCGCCAACCTTAAAACACCCAGTCGTCCATAAAAGTTAAAGGCGGTATAGTACTATAGTAATAGAGCAAGTGCAGAATCGCCGAACCGGAATTGATAACTTCAAAGCATTTAGCGCGGGGCCGTGAAAAGTGCCGGACCCGTAGCTACTACATATGTACAGTGAAGGAAAAAGTATTTGATCCCCTGCTGATTTTGTACGTTTGACCACTGACAAAGAAATGATCAGTCTATAATTTTAATGGTAGGTTTATTTGAACATTGAGAGACAAAATAACAAAAAAATCCAGAAAAACGCATGTCAAAATGTTATAAATTGATTTGCATTTTAATGAGGGAAATAACTATTAGACCCCTCTGCAAAACATGCTTAGTACTTGGTGGCAAAACCCTTGTTGGCAATCACAGAGGTCAGACGTTTCTTGTAGTTGGCCACCAGGTTTGCACACATCTCAGGAGGGATTTTGTCCCACTCCTCTTTGCAGATCTTCTCCAAGTCATTAAGGTTTTGAGGCTGACGTTTGGAAACTCGAACCTTCAGCTCCCTCCTCAGATTTTCTATGGGATTAAGGTCTGGAGACTGGCTAGGCCACTCCAGGACCTTAATGTGCTTCTTCTTGAGCCACTCCTTTGTTGCCTTGGCCGTGTGTTTTGGGTCATTGTCATGCTGGAATACCCATCCACGACCCATTTTCAATGCCCTGGCTGAGGGAAGAAGGTTCTCACCCAAGAGTGACGGTACATGGCCCTGTCCATCGTCCCTGCGGTGAAGTTGTCCTGTCCCCTTAGCAGAAAAACACCCCCAAAGCATAATGTTTCCACCTCCATGTGTGACGGTGGGGATGGTGTTCTTGGGGTCATAGGCATCATTCCTCCTCCTCCAAACACGGCGAGTTGAGTTGATGCCAAAGAGCTCCATTTTGGTATCATCTGACCACAACACTTTCAAACAGTTATTTTCTGAATCATTCAGATGTTCATTGGCAAACTTCAGACGGGCATGTATATGTGCTTGTTGCCTATATGTGCTTGTTGCCTTGGCCGTGTGTTTTGGGTCATTGTCATGCTGGAATACCCATCCACGACCCATTTTCAATGCCCTGGCTGAGGGAAGAAGGTTCTCACCCAAGAGTGACGGTACATGGCCCTGTCCATCGTCCCTGCGGTGAAGTTGTCCTGTCCCCTTAGCAGAAAAACACCCCCAAAGCATAATGTTTCCACCTCCATGTGTGACGGTGGGGATGGTGTTCTTGGGGTCATAGGCATCATTCCTCCTCCTCCAAACACGGCGAGTTGAGTTGATGCCAAAGAGCTCCATTTTGGTATCATCTGACCACAACACTTTCAAACAGTTATTTTCTGAATCATTCAGATGTTCATTGGCAAACTTCAGACGGGCATGTATATGTGCTTTTTTGAGCAGGGGGACCTTGCGGGCGCTGCAGGATTTCAGTCCTTCACGGCGTAGTGTGTACCAATTGTTTTCTTGGTGACTATGGTCCCAGCTGCCTTGAGATCATTGACAAGATCCTCCCGTGTAGTTCTGGGCTGATGCTTCACCGTTCTCATGATCATTGCAACTCCACGAGGTGAGATCTTGCATGGAGCCCCAGGCCGAGGGAGATTGACAGTTCTTTTGTGTTTCTTCCATTTGCGAATAATCGCACAACTGTTGTCACCTTCTCACCAAGCTGCTTGGCAATGGTCGTGTAGCCCATTCCAGCCTTGTGTAGGTCTACAATCTTGTACCTGACATCCTTGGAGAACTCTTTGGTCTTGGCCATGGTGGAGCGTTTGGAATCTGATTGATTGCTTCTGCGGACAGGTGTCTTTTATACAGGTAACAAGTTGAGATTAGGAGCACTCCCTTTAAGAGTGTGCTCATAATCTCAGCTCGTTACCTGTATAAAAGACACCTGGGAGCCAGAAAATCTTTCTGATTGAGAGGGGGGTCAAATACTTATTTCCCTCGTTAAAATGCAAATCAATTTGTAACATTTTTGACATGCGTTTTTCTGGATTTTCTTGTTGTTATGCTGTCTCTCACGGTTCAAATAAACCTACCATTTAAATTATAGACTGATCATTTCTTCGTCAGTGGGCAAACGTACAAAATCAGCAGGGGATCAAATACTGTTTTTCCCCTCACTGGAGCTACTTTCGCTCCTCGGGTAATCCGGCACTGCCCACAGGTGCGCGGGCAGAAGAGCGGTAACGTCGCAGTGCTCAGACGCCTCCGTGTTGAGCGGGCGTCGATTTCAGCAGCGGAATTGATCACGGCCGACACTTCACTTTTGCTCGTTTGTCACCCCACGATTTGGTCGGAGGGACAATACAGTTTGCCCTCGATGTCAACGTCTCGCAGCTGCTTAGTACAACAACAATAATGTATTTGCACTGCCCCACGCGCGTAATTAACAAGACACGCGCATGCCGAGCGTGGCCTCTGCGCGTCGACTGTCAGCGGGGAATGATGAATCCGTTAACGAGCGATCCGCTATAACGAACGCAGAAAACAAAACACCCCAGTGGCAAACGCTGTCTAAAAGGTTGGGGGGGGGGGCAAATGTAATCCTTTCTCGCCGTCACCGAGGACTTTATTTTCAGCAGTCCGCTACGAGTCACTCCGGGTATACGAGGGCCCTTGCGCTGCTGCTAGCGGTCATCTGCCACTGGCCTCCAGATACGGTGCATACACAAACCAATCTCGCATCCCGACGGTCCCCATTCTCGGTCAATCCCCCTGGGAGACAATGAGTACAGAGTAGTGCAAGAGGTGGGCTACCTGCGGCTCTGCAAGGGCTATTTCGTGAAGCTACTCGCACGCAATGCGGCTCTTGAAAACGCAGAGTTGATTTTGTTTGACCGAATACGAAAAAAATGCCTCCGCTTGTTATTTTGGTTGCTGACCCCCGACTTAGTGGGGAAGGCACGTCGTTGTTCAATGGGTACACTGGTGGTCCCCCGTCGTATGTAGGACCGACACTTCTACCACCGGCTCTGCACCAGCGGGAGATGGGCGCCGAGAGTCGAGTGAAAAGTAGTACTTTAAGTCAACATTTTTACAGAACGTACACCAATACCAATAGATGTACACCGTGGGTGTGGAATTCGGTTGAGTCAATTTTTCATTCACTAAAGTCAAATTGTTGAATTTTGATTTAAAGCTTTCGTGACTGCAGGGATTCATATTCCTGGTTCTTTCGGTAAAGTCACCACGTAGAAGAATAATCAAATTGTTGAGCTCCGTCCCACTTTATGCACCGCACTTGGGAACAAAGTACAGACCTGTAAAAAAAACATTTATCACCGAGTACGTGTACAAGGTTATGGATTGACTCAGCGTGTAGAGCCCTGCACCCATAACCCAATAAATCCATGTTAACACTATCAACCGAACCTTTAAAGATGGATGTATTAGGCCATCCGTTCACGTTTCCTACGAGTAAAACGAAACAAGTCCCCCTGCGGGTGCTGCGTGGATTATTACCAACAGCGCAGGATCGTCAGACGCGGCGGCGGCGGCGGCGGCATGGGGAGAACCCATCCAGAGGTGGGGTATTGGACCATGGCCGATTGTGTGGTGAAACCAAGCAGCTGGTAAAACAGGCCCGGCGTGTACAGCGCGATCAGCCACATCGTTGCCGAATGTTCAGCCAAGAAGCAAGTCACACTTTGTGGGACCGATAATTAATCATCATCGCGATCCTAAGCAGAAATCATTTTTTGGGGCAGTCCATACTTATGAGATGACAGAACATATATATGTAGACGAGAGATGTAGCAAGACGAGAAATAGAAGATCGATTTAATAATATAACGAATTTATGGACAAAATACAAAGACGGAGCGAGACAAGAGATGGCACAACTCGGCGATAAATGAATTCGCTCTGGTAACATTAATCAGCCAAGTTTACAAGGATTGTATTAAGAGCTGATACAAGAGGACTGCACGACCTCCGATTAGCACGGTTGACTACGTACGGTGCGAAAGAAGTTCACAAACGGCGTAGTTGGGTCACCGCAGTTTGTTAATTCATGAATTTGCGGGGGAGAAGGGGGGGGGGGGCCTTGAGCGTATGTCAGTGGTTCTTAGCATTCGCTGCAGACTTGCACCCCATTAGTTCGCAATCGTTAAAACGTGTTAATAAATACGTAGGCTATGATGAAACAAAGTTGTACGTGCGTGCCCGTGCTCCAAGTGTTTTAGACGATTTCATTTAAAAAAAAAGATCTGTCGTGTCTCGCACCCCAGGTTAAGAACCCACTACGTTCAACTTTCGCACCGTGCCCGGAACGTAGCCGCGCGCTCCGCGTTCGTTCCCCCGTGCCGAGCGCCACCCCCGTGGTTCGGGCTCAAGTAGGCGGCGCGGCACAGAGGAGGTGGTGGTGGGGAAGGGTCACGGCGAGTCACGACGAGTCACGACGGGCCGTGACTCACGGGGGTGAGGGAGGGGTGGTTAGTAAACTCGGCGCTTTCTGATGCCGCTGCAGCTGTAACCTCAGCACCACGCGGGGAGGGAGTCGCGAAGGGCGCCGGAAACATAGTGGGGGGGGGGGGTAGGGGGAAGCCCACGAACGAAACCAGAAGTGGGATTTCCTGCAATGCGCATGGCATCAGAGAAGGGAGTGCCACTATTGTCGCTCACGGCCGCACAAATCCGCAGCGGCGATCAGCACGGTTGGGGGCTACTTTGTGCGCGGTGCGAGAGAAGTTCGATAGCAGACGTACTCGCGTCCGGGCCTCGACCAGGGGGCACGCTGTTCTTCGCACAGAAACCTGCCAAGCAAATCGGTAAACTACACTCTGTAAGGTGAGGAGTGTTCAACACACACAAACACACGCGCGCGCGCGAGCGTCCCCCTCGGTCAGGCAAGGCAGCGCAACTAAAGCCAGGTAAGAGAGCTTAGTAAACACACGCGCACTCTTACACTCCACCTGCCAGGTAAAGACGGTTACACTGTTAAAGGGAGATCGCCAGACACTCGCTGCCAGGTGAGCAGGGCGTCTAACCACACTCACTGCCAGGTGAGCAAGGAGTCTAACCACACTCACTGCCAGGTGAGCAAGAGTCTAACCACACTCACTGCCAGGTGAGCAGGGAGTCTAACCACACTCACTGCCAGGTGAGCAGGGAGTCTAACCACACTCACTGCCAGGTGAGCAGGAGTCTAACCACACTCACTGCCAGGTGAGCAGGGAGTCTAACCACACTCACTGCCAGGTGAGCAGGGAGTCTAACCACACTCACTGCCAGGTGAGCAGGGAGTCTAACCACACTCACTGCCAGGTGAGCAGGGAGTCTAACCACACTCACTGCCAGGTGAGCAGGGAGTCTAACCACACTCACTGCCAGGTGAGCAAGAGTCTAACCACACTCACTGCCAGGTGAGCAGGGAGTCTAACCACAGTCACTGCCAGGTGAGCAGGGAGTCTAACCACACTCACTGCCAGGTGAGCAAGGAGTCTAACCACACACACTGCCAGGTGAGCAAGAGTCTAACCACACTCACTGCCAGGTGAACAAGGAGTCTATCCACACTCACTGCCAGGTGAGCAAGGAGTCTAACCACATTCACTGCAAGGTGAGCAAGAGTCTAACCACACTCACTGCCAGGTGAACATGAGTCTAACCACACTCACTGCCAGGTGAACATGAGTCTAACCACACTCACTGCCAGGTGAACAAGGCGTCTTACCACACTCGCTGCCAGGTGAGCAGGGCGTCTAACCACACTCACTGCCACGTGAACAAGAGTGTAACCACACTCACTGCCAGGTGAACAGGGAGTCTAACCACACTCACTGCCAGGTGAGCAGGGAGTCTAACCACACTCACTGCCAGGTGAGCAGGGAGTCTAACCACACTCACTGCCAGGTGAGCAGGGAGTCTAACCACACTCACTGCCAGGTGAGCAGGGAGTCTAACCACACTCACTGCCAGGTGAGGAGGGAGTCTAACCACACTCACTGCCAGGTGAGCAGGGCGTCTAACCACACTCACTGCCAGGTGAACAAGGAGTCTAACCACACTCACTGCCAGGTGAGCAGGGAGTCTAACCACACTCACTGCCAGGTGAGCAGGGAGTCTAACCACACTCACTGCCAGGTGAGCAAGGAGTCTAACCACACACACTGCCAGGTGAACAAGGAGTCTAACCACACTCACTGCCAGGTGAGCAAGGCGTCTAACCACACTCACTGCCAGGTGAGCAGGGAGTCTAACCACACTCACTGCCAGGTGAGCAGGGAGTCTAACCACACACACTGCCAGGTGAGCAAGAGTCTAACCACACTCACTGCCAGGTGAGCATGAGTCTAACCACACTCACTGCCAGGTGAACATGAGTCCTAACCACACTCACTGCCAGGTGAACAAGGGCGTCTAACCACACTCGCTGCCAGGTGAGCAGGGCGTCTAACACACACTCACTGCCAGGTGAACAAGAGTCTTTCCACACTCACTGCCAGGTGAACAGGGAGTCTAACCACACTCACTGCCAGGTGAGCAGGGAGTCTAACCACACTCACTGCCAGGTGAGCAGGGAGTCTAACCACACTCACTGCCAGGTGAGCAGGGAGTCTAACCACACTCACTGCCAGGTGAGCAGGGAGTCTACCACACTCACTGCCAGGTGAGGAGGGAGTCTAACCACACTCACTACCAGGTGAGCAGGGCGTCTAACCACACTCACTGCCAGGTGAGCAAGAGTCCTAACCACACTCACTGCCAGGTGAGCAGGGAGTCTAACCACACTCATTGCCAGGTGAGCAGGGAGTCTAACCACACTCACTGCCAGGTGAACAAGGAGTCTAACCACACACACTGCCAGGTGAACAAGGAGTCTAACCACACTCACTGCCAGGTGAGCAGGGCGTCTAACCACACTCACTGCCAGGTGAGCAGGGAGTCTAACCACACTCACTGCCAGGTGAGCAGGGAGTCTAACCACACTCACTGCCAGGTGAGCAGGGCGTCCTAACCACACTCACTGCCAGGTGAGCAGGGCGTCTAACCACACTCACTGCCAGGTGAACAAGGGAGTCTATCCACACTCACTGCCAGGTGAGCAAGGAGTCTAACCACATTCACTGCCAGGTGAGCAGGGAGTCTAACCACAACTCACTGTCAGGTGAGCAGGGAGTCTAACCACACTCACTGCCAGGTGAACAAGGCGTTCTAACCACACTCACTGCCAGGTGAACAAGGAGTCTAACCACACTAAATGCCAGGTGAGCAGGGAGTCTAACCACACTCACTGCCAGGTGAACATGAGTCTAACCACACTCACTGCCAGGTGAACATGAGTCTAACCACACTCACTGCCAGGTGAACAAGGCGTCTAACCACACTCGCTGCCAGGTGAGCAGGGCGTCTAACCACACTCACTGCCAGGTGAACAAGAGTCTAACCACACTCACTGCCAGGTGAACAGGGAGTCTAACCACACTCACTGCCAGGTGAGCAGGGAGTCTAACCACACTCACTGCCAGGTGAGCAGGGAGTCTAACCACACTCACTGCCAGGTGAGCAGGGAGTCTAACCACACTCACTGCCAGGTGAGGAGGGAGTCTAACCACACTCACTGCCAGGTGAGCAGGGCGTCTAACCACACTCACTGCCAGGTGAGCAAGAGTCTAACCACACTCACTGCCAGGTGAGCAGGGAGTCTAACCACACTCACTGCCAGGTGAGCAGGGAGTCTAACCACACTCACTGCCAGGTGAACAAGGAGTCTAACCACACACACTGCCAGGTGAACAAGGAGTCTAACCACACTCACTGCCAGGTGAGCAGGGCGTCTAACCACACTCACTGCCAGGTGAGCAGGGAGTCTAACCACACTCACTGCCAGGTGAGCAGGGAGTCTAACCACACACACTGCCAGGTGAGCAAGAGTCTAACCACACTCACTGCCAGGTGAGCATGAGTCTAACCACACTCACTGCCAGGTGAACATGAGTCTAACCACACTCACTGCCAGGTGAACAAGGCGTCTAACCACACTCGCTGCCAGGTGAGCAGGGCGTCTAACCACACTCACTGCCAGGTGAACAAGAGTCTTTCCACACTCAATGCCAGGTGAACAGGGAGTCTAACCACACTCACTGCCAGGTGAGCAGGGAGTCTAACCACACTCACTGCCAGGTGAGCAGGGAGTCTAACCACACTCACTGCCAGGTGAGCAGGGAGTCTAACCACACTCACTGCCAGGTGAGCAGGGAGTCTAACCACACTCACTGCCAGGTGAGGAGGGATTCTAACCACACTCACTGCCAGGTGAGCAGGGCGTCTAACCACACTCACTGCCAGGTGAGCAAGAGTCTAACCACACTCACTGTCAGGTGAGCAGGGAGTCTAACCACACTCACTGCCAGGTGAGCAGGGAGTCTAACCACACTCACTGCCAGGTGAACAAGGAGTCTAACCACACACACTGCCAGGTGAACAAGGAGTCTAACCACACTCACTGCCAGGTGAGCAGGGCGTCTAACCACACTCACTGCCAGGTGAGCAGGGAGTCTAACCACACTCACTGCCAGGTGAGCAGGGAGTCTAACCACACTCACTGCCAGGTGAGCAGGGCGTCTAACCACACTCACTGCCAGGTGAGCAGGGCGTCTAACCACACTCACTGCCAGGTGAACAAGGAGTCTATCCACACTCACTGCCAGGTGAGCAAGGAGTCTAACCACATTCACTGCCAGGTGAGCAGGGAGTCTAACCACACTCACTGTCAGGTGAGCAGGGAGTCTAACCACACTCACTGCCAGGTGAACAAGGCGTCTAACCACACTCACTGCCAGGTGAACAAGGAGTCTAACCACACTAAATGCCAGGTGAGCAGGGAGTCTAACCACACTCACTGCCAGGTGAACATGAGTCTAACCACACTCACTGCCAGGTGAACATGAGTCTAACCACACTCACTGCCAGGTGAACAAGGCGTCTAACCACACTCGCTGCCAGGTGAGCAGGGCGTCTAACCACACTCACTGCCAGGTGAACAAGAGTCTAACCACACTCACTGCCAGGTGAACAGGGAGTCTAACCACACTCACTGCCAGGTGAGCAGGGAGTCTAACCACACTCACTGCCAGGTGAGCAGGGCGTCTAACCACACTCACTGCCAGGTGAGCAGGGAGTCTAACCACACTCACTGCCAGGTGAGCAGGGCGTCTAACCACACTCACTGCCAGGTGAGCAAGAGTCTAACCACACTCACTGCCAGGTGAGCAGGGAGTCTAACCACACTCACTGCCAGGTGAGCAGGGAGTCTAACCACACTCACTGCCAGGTGAACAAGGAGTCTAACCACACACACTGCCAGGTGAACAAGGAGTCTAACCACACTCACTGCCAGGTGAGCAGGGCGTCTAACCACACTCACTGCCAGGTGAGCAGGGAGTCTAACCACACTCACTGCCAGGTGAGCAGGGAGTCTAACCACACTCACTGCCAGGTGAGCAGAGCGTCTAACCACACTCACTGCCAGGTGAGCAGGGCGTCTAACCACACTCACTGCCAGGTGAGCAGGGCGTCTAACCACAGTCACTGTCAGGTGAACAAGGAGTCTAACCACAGTCACTGCCAGGTGAGCAGGGCGTCTAACCACAGTCACTGCCAGGTGAGCAGGGAGTCTAACCACACACACTGCCAGGTGAGCAGGGTGTCTAACCACACTCACTGCCAGGTGAGCAGGGCGTCTAACCACACTCGCTGCCAGGTGAGCAGGGAGTCTAACCAGAGTCACTGCCAGGTGAGCAGGGCGTCTAACCACACTCACTGCCAGGTGAGCAGGGCGTCTAACCACACTCACTGCCAGGTGAGCAGGGCGTCTAACCACAGTCACTGCCAGGTGAGCAGGGAGTCTAACCACACTCACTGCCAGGTGAGCAGGGTGTCTAACCACACTCACTGCCAGGTGAACAAGGCGTCTAACCACACTCGCTGCCAGGTGAGCAGGGCGTCTAACCACACTCACTGCCAGGTGAGCAGGGCGTCTAACCACACTCACTGCCAGGTGAGCAGGGCGTCTAACCACACTCACTGCCAGGTGAGCAAGGCGTCTAACCACACTCACTGCCAGGTGAGCAGGGCGTCTAACCACACTCACTGCCAGGTGAGCAGGGCGTCTAACCACACTCACTGCCAGGTGAGCAAGGCGTCTAACCACACTCACTGCCAGGTGAGCAGGGCAAGTGTCGCCATGGCAGTGCCGTTCGTTGACTTCACGTAGCGGGGAGCAGTGCAGGCGATGTCTCTGGACTAGGTTTACCGTTCACCGTGCCGGGACGCGAGACACGATTCCGATTAGAGTGTTGATCATGCTTAGTTGCTGGCAGCACGGACACGTTAGATTCTATAGAAAGTGCCGCCTAGTAACTCTACATAACATCGCGTTACAATCTAAAGGAGGCTTATTGCGCAAACCACACAAAACAGCGAGGTCAGCGAAACAAAGGGTGAGATTAGTCGAGCATTGAGTGCAGCCGAATACTCGTGCCAACGTATTACGCCAATTAAATTTCATCATCAAATGCGATTCTGTTCTCCCATTACCACATCGCCCTACTCGCTCTGCTCGGAGTTCAGACGCCGTTTGCCACACAGTCTCGCTCCATAGGCGGCTCCTACTCTTTGCCTGCACCACCGCCGCCTCCCCTTACACCCCTCGTCCAACCCCAATTACGCTCTCCCCAAGGTTAACGTCGAACAAATGGTACTCACCTCACCTACGCACCTGTCTAATAACCACGGAAATACAACCTCCTACTTCGCGACATTTCGCTATTAGCGTTAGCCACCACTCGCAAAAACAAGAACCGACTGACTACCCTAGTGAGAGTAAGTGTGTGTTTAAAGGCTTAAGCGAAATGTCCTTTACTAACACACACGTTCATCGCGGCAGCTATCCCCCCCCCCACCTCTACGATTTAACTGCTCGTTACCTAACACCGCTGCTCGCACTCTTACCCCCCCCCAATTCCAACTCCCCCCCAATTCCAACCCCCCCCCAATTCCAACCCCCCCCCAATTCCAACCCCCCCCCCCAATTCCAACCCCCCCCCAATTCCAACCCCCCCCATTCCAAACCCCCCCCAATTCCAACCCCCCCAATTCCAACCCCCCCAATTCCAACCCCCCCCCCCAATTCCAACCCCCCCCCCCAATTCCAACCCCCCCCCAATTCCAACCCCCCCCAATTCCAACCCCCCCCCCAATTCCAACCCCCCCCCCAATTCCAACCCCCCCCCATTCCAACCCCCTCCCCAATTCCAACCCCCCCCCAATTCCAACCCCCCCCCCATTCCAACCCCCCCCATTCCAACCCCCCCCCATTCCAACCCCCCCCCCCATTCCAACCCCCCCCCCATTCCAACCCCCCCCCCCCCATTCCAACCCCCCCCCCCATTCCAACCCCCCCCCCCATTCCAACCCCCCCCCCATTCCAACCCCCCCCCCCATTCCAACCCCCCCCCCATTCCAACCCCCCCCCATTCCAACCCCCCCCCCCATTCCAACCCCCCCCCCCATTCCAACCCCCCCCCCATTCCAACCCCCCCCCCATTCCAACCCCCCCCCCCCATTCCAACCCCCCCCCCATTCCAACCCCCCCCCCATTCCAACCCCCCCCCATTCCAACCCCCCCCCATTCCAACCCCCCCATTCCAACCCCCCCCATTCCAACCCCCCCCCATTCCAACCCCCCCCATTCCAACCCCCCCCATTCCAACCCCCCCCCCCCCGAAGTCCAAACCCCTCCGCATTGTGGTAGCGAGGGACCCTCCTGTTCTCTACCCCTCCCTATTTATAACTCCTCCCATCATCTTCCCCTCACCCCCTTATTACACACCCCCCACCCACCCCGCATCACCACCACCCCGCATCACCACCCCCACCCTGCATCACCACCCCCCCTTATTACACCCACCCTGCATCACCACCCCCCCCCCCACCGTGCATCACCACCCCCCCGCATCACCCCCCCCCCCGCATCACCACCCCCCCGCATCACCACCCCCCGCATCACCACCCCCTGATCATCCATCCGTTCCAACCAAACAATAGCAATCATTAATTTAAACACCACACTCTCCCCACCTTCCCTTGATCGGTCGCTATACCTGCTTTCCAGTCCTCTCACTCCTCTCCGCGTCACGCCACGTCACGTTACAATGATGCACAAATCAACAGGGCATTGAATACCAAAACCAAATCAAATAACAAGAGCATTGAAACTGCCCAAGTAATTAAAACGATTTAACAAAAATACCGTACATTGCGGGAGTAACTGATAAACTAGCCAGATGTTTGGAAAAACAAAACATCCGAGTCAGATTTGGCACGGTACATAAAATACAGAAATTAATATCTGGTACCAAAGATGTATTACCGAAGCTATCAACAGAAGGTGTGTACATGATTAACTGCACGTGGTAAATGTTATGTTGGGCAAACAGGACGAATGATCAGCACGAGACTAAAAAAACAGAGAAATATTAAATACTCCCAACTACAACTGTCAGCAGTAGCAGAACACACGTACCAACAAGGACACTCAATTGATTTTGATAATGTTGAAGTTGTGTACAAAACTAGCTACTACTGGCCAAGACTAATTAGAGACTCTATCGAAATTGAAATAAATCAAAATAACTCTAACCGTTCTGATAGCGACCGCCTTAGTGCTACGTGGAAGCGAATAATCAAATGATACATTATTTAAATGCATGCCTACAAAGGGCAGCGTACTTCAATAGGGATTACCGTTGGTAGGGCTACTATTTAAATACACACAATAGACAGGAAGGACAAGTTCAAACGGCTCGCATACTGCACATGCATCATGTACCTTGCCTCAGTAATCCCCCCCACATTGTGCAAGAGCACAGAAGCGTGGTCACCACATCTACGCCTCTATATAAGGAACGAAACAGCAAGACTTTTCCACAAATCTGGCTGTCGCTTGATGAAGCTAGTTCTAATTACTGGCGAAAGGTCATACTCAGATTGTAAATGTTGTGGCTTGGCTCTCCAACACACCGGTGTGCTGTACTCGTGACGAATTGGCCACGTTCTGTTTACGTAACAACCCTTACTAGTTGGCTGTGTCGGGTGGTGGCGGGTTTTAACGACACATTTATATATTTAGGCGAATTAACCCAAAAATTTATATTATGAACAATATAAAGTATTTTTTCATGACAACACTTTTCCCTCTGTGTATCTCTTGTAGCATGGCTTGCAACATGGACAACGATGAAGACAACATTGAAGCCACAGGCTCTAGCCAGGAAGACCGCGGTGAAGAGGAGGATGCTCTTGATGGACATCTCAAGAAGGACATTAAGACAATGATCAAGTGAGTCAAGGTTGTACTCATGTGCTTCCAAAATATATGACGGTGCATTTAATTACGACATTTTTCTATCCCAATCATATTCCATAAACGCTGTTTTTGAGTTGTACGCCTTTTGGCGTCATCTGGTCCAACACCAGTGGAGACTAGGCTCTAAGAAAAGCCGTCTCGGGTGTGGACCAATCAATTTCAAGGACAGTGCATATCATTATCAGTTATCTATTTACGTTTGCATTTTGACTGCTTGTGTTGTGGTTATTGCAAACATGATCCCTTGTATAAAGGTGTCAGTTTTGGTGCCAGATAAAAGGGTAAAAACCTGTTACTAAATCTTGCTACTGGCAAAAGAGGTCTCATAATGAAGACATTTCCATTTAAGACTACTGCAGAGCATCAATCATCGTTAGAACATTATCTCTCTGGAAGATGATGACGGTCGAGAATTTCTGATCGAGGGCCCAACCCCGAGTGAACAAAAAAAACCCAGCAAAACAAATGATTTGAACTTGGGTTTCATACAACACTGTTCGGTCGAACCATCGTCATGGAACTAGTTGACGTCCCTTTGTGTGAAAATGGCTGTGTTGAGCACAGTCATCAAGAGTTATCAATAATGGTTTCAGTGAGATATGTTCCATTACCACCTCTCCACCAGAAATAGAACCATTTACAAAGTCATGAATACAATCGTGACCTTGTGTATGGCCTCTTTCACTCACATGACACTGGCCAATGTGATTTGTGCTGTATTTCTGTAGTGCCGTGTCTTTTTTTTCGCTTGTACCAGTTTGACTTTGACTATTCTCTCGGAGGATATTTCTATGGAGTTTCATACGTAGGATTCCGCGACTAATATTATGCATAATGAAGGGTTTTTTTGGGTTGGATCGCATAAGTATAAATGTGCCGCTAACCCACCACAACCCAACACAACCAATTAGTAAGTTTTGTCACGTAAACAAAACGTGCCAATTAGTTACTACTTCAGCCCACCTTACTAATTGAGTGTGTCTCCTGTTTGCGGGTTAATGACACATTTATACTTACACGATCTAACCCAAAGAACCTCATATTTTAGGGATTCATGTTATCCTTTTAAAAATTGAATAGTGATAATGCCAAACCATTCGAACCAGCATTTTTCAAGTCTGCAGGTTTTGCATTGTAATATATCCCATATGGAGCAAGTTATTGAAATGCTTGACCTGAATATAATTACAACGGTCGACGTTATGAGCGCAATATGCTGAATGCGACTGCATTGTATCCCAGTCGCAGACGTTTCGTCGTGAACCCTGCGTTGGTTAACATGGCTAACCGATTCGAAGTTCAACATACATACATATAAGAATGTATATTCTTAGACACGTGATTCAAAGCGTGTATTCAGAGCTTGGGAAATGATATTCACGAATCAATGCCTCGTCCCACTCTCTGCTCTCCTGACACTCACCTCAAAGCCAACAGCCTCAACACATCTCCATTCTTATTCTTCTTCAGTACAGTCGGGGTATTTGGGCGTGGATTTTCACACCTGAATTCCTTGAATGCCTGCGGCTGAGACCAGAATCGAATTGTTCAAGTGCCACTGTTCGACTCTTTAAGCCACACTAAATCCAAAGAATCTCACGAATTATACACACGATCAATGGGCAGCTTGCCTTCAGTCGGAATGGCATGGCTGCCATCGAGTTAACAACGTAAGTGCATCCTATACGTTTAACTGCAACAGCAGCTGAAGTCATGAGGCTGGCATTGGGTTATCGTAAAATCTGCACATGGGGCTAGCGTCAACAGGTGAATGAGGGTAACAGCTTGCCATGCAGGGGGCATCTTGTCATACAGGGGTCACATGGTCATACAGGGGTCACATGGTCATGCAGTGGTCACATGGTCATGCAGGGGTCGTCTTGTCATACAGGGGTCACATGGTCATACAGGGAGCATCTTGTCATACAGGGGTCACATGGTCATGCAGGGGTCGTCTTGTCATACAGGGGTCACATGGTCATACAGGGGTCGTCTTATCATACAGGGTCACATGGTCATACAGGGGTCGTCTTGTCATACAGGGGTCACATGGCCATACAGGGAGCATCTTGTCACCCAAGGAGCATGTGCTGTTCAATCACTGGTTCTGACGACACTCACTATGCTTGTGTATAAATCAATTCCTAATTTCTATAGTGGTTTCTCAAAGGTTTGAACTTAAGCAAAAACATTTTCAGAGAAACGTAATCCAATCCTTATTAACTTCAAAATAACAATACCATCAGCCATGATCATTGCACTGTTCTTAGGTTATATAGTGAGGGAAAAAAGTATTTGATTCCCTGCTGATTTTGTACGTTTGCCCACTGACAAAGAAATGATCAGTCCATAATTTTAATGGTAGGTTTATTTGAACAGTGAGAGACAGAATAACAACAAAAAAATCCAGGAAAACGCATGTCAAAAATGTTATAAATTTATTTGCATTTTAATGAGGGAAATAAGTATTTGACCCCCTCTCAATCAGAAATATTTCTGGCTCCCAGGTGTCTTTTATACAGGTAACGAGCTGAGATTAGAAGCACACTCTTAAAGGGAGTGCTCCTAATCTCAGCTTGTTACCTGTATAAAAGACACCTGTCCACAGAAGCAATCAATCAAATTCCAAACTCTCCACCATGGCCAAGACCAAAGAGCTCTCCAAGGATGTCAGGGACAAGATTGTAGACGTACTCAAAGCTGGAATGGGCTACAAGACCATTTCCAAGCAGCTTGGTGAGAAGGTGACAACAGTTGATGCGATTATTCGCAAATGGAAGAAACACAAAGGAACTGTCAATCTCCCTCGGCCTGGGGCTCCATGCAAGATCTCACCTCGTGGAGTTGCAATGATCATGAGAACGGTGAGGAATCAGCCCAGAACTACACGGTAGGATCTTGTCAATGATCTCAAGGCAGCTGGGACCTTAGTCACCAAGAAAACAATTGGTAACACACTAAGCTGTGAAGGACTGAAATCCTGCAGCGCCCGCAAGGTCCCCCTGCTCAATAAAGCACATATACATGCCCGTCTGAAGTTTGCCAATGAACATCTGAATGATTCAGAGGACAACTGGGTGAAAGTGTTGTGGTCAGATGAGACCAAAATGGAGCTCTTTGGCATCAACTCAACTCGCCGTGTTTGGAGGTAGAGGAATGCTGCCTATGACCCCAAGAACACCATCCCCACCCTCAAATATGGAGGTGGAAACATGCTTTGGGGGTGTTTTTCTGCTAAGGGGACAGGACAACTTCACCGCATCAAAGGGACGATGGACGGGGCCATGTATCGTCAAATCTTGGATGAGAACCTCCTTCCCTCAGCCAGGGCATTGAAAATGGGTCGTGGATGGGTATTCCAGCATCATAATGACCCAAAACACACAGCCAAGGCAACAAAGGAGTGGCTCAAGAAGAAGCACATTAAGGTCCTGGAGTGGCCTAGCCAGTCTCCAGACCTTAATCCCATAGTCAATCTGTGGGGGGAGCTGAAGGTTCGAGTTGCCAAACGTCAGCCTCGAAACCTTAATGACTTGGAGAAGATCTGCAAAGAGGAGTGGGACAAAATCCCTCCTGAGATGTGTGCAAACCTGGTGGCCAAATACAAGAAACGTCTGACCTCTGTGATTGCCAACAAGGGTTTTGCCACCAAGTACTAAGTTATGTTTTCGCAGGAGGGGTCAAATACTTATTTCCCTCATTGAAATACAAATCAATTCATAACATTTTTGACATGCGTTTTTCTGGATTTTGTTGTTGTTATTCTGTCTCTCACTGTTCAAATAAACCTACCATTAAAATTATAGACTGATCATTTCTTTGTCAGTGGGCAAACGTACAAAATCAGCAGGGGATCAAAGCCTTTTTCCCTAACTGTACATATGTAGTAGCTACGGGCCCGGCACTTTCCAAGGCCCCGCGCTAAATGCTTAGTACTATACCACCTTTAACTTTTATGGACGACTGGGTGTTTTAAGGTTGTCGATTTGTCGTATCTGGCTGTATAGCAAATGAAAAAAATACAATTACTTTATGCAAGATACAAATGTGTCACATTTGTTTTTTTTAAACGTACAAAATCAGCAGGGGATCAATACTTTTTTCCCTCACTGTATGTCTATATGGTCTTTATACATATGTAAGTATCAATATATCTCTATGCATCTCTTTGGGTTTGCTATATGGTCCATAGTTTGTGTTGCATGGCCACAATCGCACCGCGGTCTTTATGTGTTAATGTCACTTTCCATCGCGAGGGATTATGCAGGTAAACTATTTTACTCAATAAATTATAATACACAAGCGCTGCAAGCAGAGTTGGTCCCATTCCACGGGGCTCTACCCCCTCCTGTTGGTGCAAATTTGAAACCGCAAGCGAAAAGCCTGCTTGTCGCAAGAGCAATTACATCGGGTTACCAGACTCAGAATATTTATTTAAACTGGAGGTATCCGGAGCCATTGCCATGACGACCCCGTCAAAGCAACAAGCTCTCTATACGCTTTGCAAAACATATACGGAAAAAAATCGAAACTCTATTTATTTTACAGGGTAAGACCCAGTGAGCTATGTAGCTCTTTTTTTCAGAAGCCACCTGGCCACAAATAATAGCTCAACGAAGTGGCTTATCACGTAGAACCTTTAAAGCAACCAAATACTAATTGTTCTAAATGTGGAGGGGGAAAACCGAAGGCCCTGGAGAAAAATCCACGTGACCACAGAGAGAACATGCAAACGCCAAATACACAGGCGTCAGAGTCAAGATCGAACCCACGAACCTCCTGCATACCAGGCGAGGGAGCTAACATCTCGCCACATATATAATCCCACCTCGCCGAGGGAGTTCTTATTTAAACAATCACATTAGCGAAAACATCACACGCTCGCCAATAACATTGTGTGGCCATATATAAAAGGAAACACGTGTAACGGTGATATCATGGACAGAGCTAAACGGGAGAAGGCCGTGGCTCACACAGAGAGAGAGAATAACCGACGTTTCGGGCAACGGCCTTGCTTCATACAGCGCAAATTCACATGAGCTGCTTGGCTTTTTCTGGCCCCGTCGTCAACCCCGTCACAAGGTTGCGCGTTTCGCGGGGGTCCGATAGATGTATTGCCCACGCCAATTTCTGTCCCCGTGCCCCTGCTGCACATCTGTGAAAAAGGAGCGTCATATAGCTCATCGCATAACTCCAGCGTAAATATTCTGATTCGTTCCAGTGTGACTGAAGTAAAGTGCAGCTGCACTACATTTTGCATAATGCGCCACGGCTGAGTGCTTTTAGCGGGTTTCCCTGTGTAGTCTGAGACTCGTGGGACTGAGTGTCAGAACTCGTGTCAGGGAAATACATTGTTTAAAAAATCCTTTCACTAAAGTGCAGTTTGAGTAAAGTGCGGCTGCACGAGTTCAGCTCCTGCAGAAAAGCATAATCAATTGACAGTGTGTTCTTGCAAATTATGAAACCACAATTGCATCAGCATCATCATCGTCGTCAGCATCATGAATTCGAAGGTTAATAATTATGCCACTGGGTACCCTACCATTCGGTGGCTTTGCTGATCTCTTCCGTAGTTTACAAGCATGGAAATCCATTTAAAACAAAGTGTGTCCTAGGAAAATACGTAAAAATAAAACTGAATGTATATAAACATATTGTAATCTTGCTCGTGGCAAAATGTTCAGGAGCTCTATGCCAATTTCGAAGATGCCAAGTTTAAGAATAAACCTATTACTGTAGTGTCCTGTACCGTACTGCGATTTAGTAAACTACTGGGAGGCGGCAGTTACCTGGTGGTGGTGCTGCTGCTGCATTGGCAGTGGTGCACAAGCACAATAAAAAACAATATTACTCAGCATGTTCCATGTCAACAACAACCCCGTGTGGCATTAAACGGGAAAATATACAGTAGGCGACGTTTCGGCCAATGTCCCTTCATGTGCTATTATCTATGTTACATTTTAAGGCCAAGGTGTTTTTGACGAGTGTAGAACGATCGCTGTAAGGAGCAGACTCTTGGTTTAAACCTGTATATTTGGAGTTTGCATGTTCTCCCCGTAATCGCGTGGATTGTTCTCCGGGTCCTCCGGTTTTGCCCTCAACATTTAGAATCAACGTCCGTTTTTGTTAGATGTCTGCTATACATTTCCACGTGATTAGCCACTTCGTTGAGCTATCATTTGTGGCCAGGCCGCTTCTGAAAAAGAGCCATACAGCTCAATGGGCCTTACCTGGAAAAATTTTTTTTTTTAAAGTAAAGCGATTAATCTGTGCACTTAAAGGCATTTCTGGAAACCGTGCTATGAGTGTCTGTTGTGTTCCCCCCAAAAAAAGAAAAATATCCCGCGTGGTGATCAAGGGTGCTTGCATGGGAGACGCAAGCATGAAGCCCGACGGACACTTGGAGGAGATGGATTCGCAGATACACTCGTACAGCATGCATTACAAGTCCATCGGCAATTGCATCATCATCAACAATGAGAACTTTTTTCCCAGAGCTGGTAAGCGTTCCCCTCACCTCGGTACAGCTCATTGGTCTCACTCACACAGCCAGGAATGGCTCGCAGGCTCGGAAGCGAATGCGCTATGTTTGTTCATTTGTACGGATGTATGTTGAACTTCTTTCACGCCGTACGTAGCCAACCGTGCTAATCGGAGGGTGCAGGATGCTAACATTTGTTGCTAAGATTAAGTTTCGCCCAAATTTGTTTTTTTTTTATACATATATACATTGTGACACAAAAATTGGCAGCAAAGAATGCATTAGTAAATAATTCATAAATATATCGGACGATAATATTACATTCATAACACAGTTTTTTTTGGGTTAGATCGCGTAAATAAATGAATGTCGTTAAACCTGCCACCACCCAACACAGCCAACTACTAAGGTTTGTCACGTAAACAGCACACCGGTGTGTTAGAGAGCAAAGCCACAACATTTACAATCTGAGTACGACGTTTTTCCAGTAATTACAACTAGCTTCATCAGGCGACAGCCAGATTTGGTCGTGAAAGCCTACATGTTAAACAAGATTACATTCGCTTGAAATTCAACAAACTATTTTTTGGTGTAACATGCCTTTTTACCACGTGACGTGACTTAAATGGCATTGACTGGATGCACTTTGCAGCATCTTCCTGCGCAAATATGCGGCGATGCCCACCCCTGTTGGTGGAGCTGAGCCAGTGGTGAAAAAATCCACATTACTTTGGAGGGAGCCAGTCACTCCGCAAGACAACAAATGTACTCGTGTGATAAATCTGTGCTTAGACCGATTGTGTGGAATGCAAATAAGTCTGGCTTGACAGATTTTTGTCTTTAATGTGGTGGAAATGCAGCGTTGCATCCGTTTTGTGAAAGCTGTGCTAATGCCCCATCCGTAAATCCTTCCGCCCGACCCACGTGACCCAAGGGATGGCGAAACGGAACGGTACGCAGATGGACGTGAGTCGGCTCTCCGAATGCTTCGACAGTTTGGGCTTCGATGTGAAATACAGAAAAGACCTTACGTGTGAAGAGATGAGAACTTTTTTGAAAGAAGGTATTCAAATTGCATTGGCGTCACCCCTATTAAGCCGTTGTGTGTTTTTGCCCTCTTGCTCCAGAACGTTAACCCGGGCCACACACGAGGCCGCATGTAGAGATTGTATCGGGAGGGCATGGCACTGCGGAGTGCCGAGGTGGCCGTTTAGAGCATTGAGCAGCAGCTACTCCTCTCCCACTGTGGTGGCATTGGCTACCGGTGGCTCCTCCGCTTGTACGACTTCCCCTATGGTGCACGTTTGTACGTATGTTGGACCGCGCTTAATCGGAGGTGTGCGGGAAGGACAACAAACTGCCAGGAGTTCCGCATCCCGAACCATTCTAGCCATCACTTTACACGACTTTCAACTCATGAGGTAGCCCTTGAACTCTAACAGAGACACGGGTGAGGTGTTAGTAAGTCATTTGCACCCATTGTGTTACCGAACTTTTCGAGATATTTGTTTATTTTTCAATACATATAGATACCTATTTCTATTGTTTCTTTTAAATTTAAATAATGAATAAAAACACCAAACCAGGCCTCAGCATGGCATGTGGAGGTCATATTTACCTTGACCCACTAACACGATTTTGACATTCAGAGCCCTCCCAGGGTCAGAGGGAGCAGATAGAGAGCAGAGCACAGCGGAATTGCCAGGGGCTGACGTAAACACACCAAGCCAGGGTCACTGGGAGTTTGCGTTAGCCTAGATATAGTTCAGTCAAAAAGCTGATTGGTTCTACATTACTATTAAAGTAACTTAAAATCGGAATTCAACGACAGGGTAGGCTAAAGTTATTGATCTTCACACCAACTTCAATTGAACCCTGCCACAAGCTACGTCAATGTAACCATCACCCGTCTATTAATTTAATATGAAATGTATTTTCATATTTTAATAATTTCTATACGACTTGACCCGAAGCCTATAACAATCAGGTTTTCCTAAGTCAACATAAATGCCCTAGCCTCCACCCATACGCAAATAATAAGCAGGGTTAAAGTAAGAGTGGAGAGGAAAAGAAATGCAAGCGCACAGCAAAACTGCAACGTAAGCAAAGGGCGATGTTAAACCCAGGGTAGGAGAGAAAGGGAAATCCCGGCCGTCTTTGTATCCCTGCAGCGCGGGGTAGGAGTGTGTATACGCTTGGGGAAACACGAGTCAAACACCACAACGAGAAGCTGACTCAGACCTTGGATTAATACAGAATCATAACTATGGAACTCAGATGAAATGAAATGTTAACTTAAAACTTTTTAACCATTTCTTTGTGCGTCGGTGAAAGTCGGAGGGAATATCGCCCCTCCCTCCAGGTTGTGCACCCAGACAGAGAGGCGCCTTCAAGACAATTTATAACATTTGATTGTTTTACTTGTGGGTTTTATGGTAGGAGTATGACAACGGAATATACCGTGGGTGATGCACAAGGACACACACTGACACACGTACGGACACACACACGGACGCAGATACATACGGACAAATCCTGACACAGCAAAAATCGAAAGAAACCCCGCCTTGTGGGCAGGATCCGAGTGAAGGGATTTTTGGGCATAAAAAGAGGATCCTGAGCATTGAAACCTCAGTTCGACTGGGGGGGGGGGGTCGGCTCACCAGAGTTCGACAGGAGTGGGTCGACTCTCGGGAGACAGTTCGACTCGGAGGGGTCGGAACTCGGGGAGTTCTACCAGGGGGGTCGGAACTCGGGGAGTTCGAATCGGAGGAGGTCGGAACGCGGGGAGTTCGACCAGTGGGCCGGCTCAGGAGCAGTTCCAATCGGGAACGAGAGCAACAGGTCGCCAGCCGGCGAGCTGCAGAGCAGGGGGCGGCGAGCAGAAGCCAAAGTGGCCCCGTCGCTACCCACTGACGTTGGCAAGACTCGCAAGGTAGTGAGGCGTCACCTAGTGTGATTTCCAAGAGCTGAAAGACAGAGTATTGCTGAAAGATTATTCTACATTGAGTCCAGCTGCAGAGCGACCGACGCACCAAGCAAGAGCTTCTGCAAACCAGAGCAAGAGCACGTGCGACTTGAGTCATCCAGCAGTGGAGAAAAACCTGCTTTCAGCAAACCAGCAACGAGCACGTTCGAGTTCTCCACCCAGAGAGAGGGAGCGTGCCGATGCAGCTCATCCAACAGCGGAGAGAAACTGCTGTCAGCGAACCAGCACGAGCGTGATCGCGCAGCTCATCCAGCAGTGGAGAGAGGTGTCCACTGAGCAGAACTGAGAGCGATCAAGCAACTCTCCCCCGTGGACAGAGGCTGGCTGCTGCGTGGAGGAGGGCGGCGATACGTATGATGCACACTCCCACACACCTCACCGCTCTAAAGGGAGCGAGGCTACTTCTCCTACAAGCGATGCCAACTTCAGCGTATGGCAACGCAAAGAATTAATTCCAAACACTGACTATTCAAAACAATTCATATCACTCAAACATACACGGGTCCTTAACCAGAAGCGAACACTCAAGTCCGTGAACCATCTGGCTGTGGAAGCATCGATCGTGTGATAACAGTCTGACATTTATAAGTATATTCATAATTTCCCTCTTTAATATTTTGTTTTGGACTGTACTTCTAATCGCATAAGTTACCAACCGATCCATCAATACGAATTAACCCTTGGCACCTTCGCCACGGAGCTACGCTCCCGGGGAGGAATCGTGCTAAACCGATTTTCTGATCATACAATCTTATTCACGAATTAATTAATTAATCTCCCGTGAGATAACACGTTCCGCCGCATACCCTCACACTAAGCCATTTCGGTAATCTTATAGTCTGTCCGGTGGATCTGTTGTTACATTTATGCCTTTGGAAATAATAACTGTTTGATTGTCTTTTTATATGAATACCGTTGCATGTTAATCAATCGCCTGTGATAATGTGCTGACCATTTCAAGCATAATGATCGTTCATATTATAATGTATAAGCTTTTGTGTAGCATAGCATTTGCATGTCCTGACTCTCTCTCTCACTAACAGCAATCGCTTTATGCGGGGTGCATGTGTTATCAAAGTGAAATCGTACAGTCGTTGATGATACTGTCTTGATACCGTGTGGATACCGTGTTGAAGTTCCGAGATTGAGAGTTCACATACATATTATAGTTAAGGTTTAATTAGAAAATAAATTGATTAATACAGAAGTGGTCGTGTGATTCTTTCCTGAAGTTTTTGCATAAAATCTGTATCCTGCGACGAGATATGAACTCGGGAACCTAAACTATAAACACACCAATCCACACTCATTAAACTTTAAAGCGAATGATATGAAATTGGGACCTAAAATATGAACACTCGGGGAGTGTTAAAGCGAGAATCACTGTATTAAGCTGATCAATAATACGAAGTTAGACAACGAGGCCGAATTGACACTAGCGTAACTGCACACGATTGATTGCGTTATCCTGATTGATAACCCCACCTCGTCAACGAGGCGGGGCCTGATTATCATAAAGGCTATCATTAACACAACCACACCCACTCGTATAAATTAATACGATTACCTCTCTAATTAGCATAGTTACACGCATAATTACACGAATTAACATAATTTCGGATTAATTATGCAAATTTCGAATTTCATTTAATTTTAATTATTTTTCATCAATTTTCACACACCCACATATACAACAAATTGGGGGCTCGTATCCGGGATCTCTCGCAGACAGTTTATGCTTAAATTAAGGAACGAATCACTGTTGTATTAATCAAGGTATTGTGAACTAACATTGCCCTGTGACTGTAAACGGGTAAAACAAACAAAAAAACGCACTCTGAAGGAAATACCAGAGTAGCAGTGGATAACAAAGACAGTGGGGGTAAGATTATTTGCTCGAGTTGAACCAACATCCTGTGATACAAATGTTTTTATATGTGCTCTGAAGTGGAATTCCAGAGTAACTCACGCCGCACATGAGATGTTAGAATTAAGATACACTCTTAAGTCTATTAACTACACTACATAATAGAGAACGGCATGACCCGCAACATTCTGAGTTTGACACCCCAACGCATAACACCGATATAGAGGGGACCTCCTAGGAGGAGATGGAATCTATGGAAAAACAATATCGTGAATTTGTGTTAAAACGTACTGGACGGACTGCTAGAGAGCAGACAGAGCAGAGAGACGTATGGGAGGGGAGACATATAGAAGATGTTAAGGCACATAGGAGGAAACTACTTAAGGACGTGATGACATGTAACAAAGCCGAACGTGATGTAAAAATTGCAGAAATAGTAAGGTTAGACTCATATCTCCTCACACAGACAGACAGAGAAAGATTATGGAATGAGGTAAAATTTGAAAGGGAAAGAAAGGAGAAACTGTCCCTAATAGAGGAGGTAGAGCGTCTGCACACCCTCGTGAGAGAGAAAGAGTCAGCACTAACTGCACCAGCGAAACCCCCAGATGTTGATACACATAACACATACGGGAGTAACAGTTTACCACACTCCGAGCCACGCGGACGTAAACCAGAGACAGGTCACACAGGAGGTGTGGCTACAAATCAAAGTGGTTTTGACAGAGATTCCCCCTCGCGACTCGAGAGAGGGGAGGGAGAGATACGGATGAAAACAGGAAAACATAGGACTGACAACTTCGAGGGTAGAGAGGGAAAAAATATTAACACTAAGTCAGCAGGATATTCTGTACTGATCGAGCAAAAAAGGGCGGAGCTGGGGCAAGACGAGCGACATGACAGAGACAGCTCATTTGGTAGACACATTCCACGCAAGCACGACCGACGTGGAACCTATGGCAGAGATTACTTTCCAGAAAGACGCACATCACACAAGCATGAGCCATGGGATAAGCAGGAGTCACCGAGCAAAGTTGACTCACGTTACAGGTGCAAGAGGCACTACAAAAGTTATGTTAAGCAGCGCCACCGTGATGGTGACAGCTCGAGTGAGCACTCCTCAGGAACAGACGCCTCTGACGATGATCAACTGTCCGAATACTCATTCAGTAGTAAAACTCTGAAATTGATGGACAAGGCTCTCGTC